GGGGTGGTGGGTGGGGGTGGGGTGGTGGTGGTGGTGGGGGGGTGTGTGTGTGTGTGTGTGTGTGTGTGTGTGGGTGTGGTCTTTGCTGTCGCTACCCTTTAAGCTCAGTTCTTCCATGAGACAGAGAAGCTCAATTCTTCTAGCTTGTAGTCCTGATCGTGAGTTGCACTTATTTAGGTTCTTAACTAATTTGATTTGGTGCTTCTATGCCTCAATATTATTATAGCACTGTCAAAAGATATTGGGTTGAGACGGTATAAAATGATACATCATGGCCATAATAACATCATGATCTTCAGTTATTACTGTCCCATCAATGGTTTGGATGGTATTGGAGGGAGTGGGTCTCGCAAAAAATGTGATTTTATTTGTGTTTATGTGCAATACTTCCTCCAACACCATCCAACCCAAGAGTAGAAGGTGCTGTAATCCTGACGATTGTAATCATGACCATATGGATTACATTACATTTTTCCTTTCCTTTACAAACATTACAGTGTTTAGGGAAATTTACAGATAATCCTGTTTTAGTTTTTTTATCCTGTTTTACTTTTAATATTTAAAAGTAGTCCAATATATTTCATATGTTACAATCAAGTCCTATTTTTGAGAATATAAAGAGTATTTGAATTTTCTTTCCTTTTTATATATTAGATTAAGCTCATTTTGGTAGGTCCATACTTTTTACCATCATAATCTTGATAAAAATTTAAAAATAATAATTTAAATGAATAAAATTACCAAACTACCCCTGAATTATCTGATGTATAGAAAAAGCTATAAAAATAAAATACTCTTTACATTCTCAAAAGTGGGACTTGATCGTAAAATATGAAATATGTTGGACTGTTTAAATATCAAAACAAAACATGATTTTGATGTAAATTTCCCAAATGTTTATCACTTCTCCATTCAAAGGTTATATCATTCCCAAAGTAACTTTTCTTCCATGTAGGCCCTGATGATTTCAGTTAATTCATATGAGTAATTCTATCTCATCTTTTATCACTGGCAAAAGGTTTTTTTTTTTCCCATATATGTGTATGGTTTTTTGTGCATGTTGACGTACTAAGGACTCAATATCCATGTTTGATACTTTAGGACCTGAATGCTTCTTAACCATTGTCCCTCATCCTGCTGATTTACCCTCCCCAAAGAAGAAGAAAAAAAAAATTATTCTTAACTATTCTCATAAAATATGCTTCTTAACTATTCTCGTGGAAATCTGGGTATTGAAGTACATAACGTCATCTCAAATCCCACCTCCACTCATCTTTATTTGATATATGGGGTCTTGTCTGAAGAGATAATTTTGAGATTGGTATTTTGACTCTACTATTTGTGTCAGACTTTGAGGTATATGCCGTGTCTATGTAACTTAGAGTTGTTAGTATCCATCCACGACTCTTCTTTCTTGTCAGTTGGTCTTTGAGATTGTATCCATTTCAGTGGGCTATTCTATTCCCAAGTTTGAAATAGTTATCAATAGTTGTTTCCTTTTTCCTTCTTTTCCTACACAGATGAGAGCAGGGAAACTGTGGTCCAAAATTGAGGTCATTTTTAAACAGATGGACACAGCTGGAACTGAACTTGAATGCTTCAAGGTTTTACATGACCAAGAGCAGCAAGCTTCAAGAAAAAGGATTAGAGAACTACAAGAAGCAGTCAACAAACAAAAAGATCTTGAAAAGCATTTGCAACATCGTTATAGTAACCTGTTAGCGAAGCTGGAATCGATTCAAAGGAAAATGGAAGAGGCCAGGATAAAGAAAAGGCAAATGCAGGAAGAGGTTAGTGTAAAGAATGAAGAGGTTCTGGCGTTGGAAATTGCTCCTGCCAAGGAGGGTCAAACTGAGACCATGGAGACTGAGGAGCCACTTAGGGTTTCAGAGAGCGAAACCCTAATAGATAATGAAGATGCTGGAGTTGCAGTAGCAGAGACTGTGGCCATGCAAACTGAGACCATGGAGACTGAGGAGCCACTTAGGGTTTCAGAGAGCAAAACCCTAATAGATAATGAAGACACCACTGGAGTAGCAGTACAAGAGACTGTGGCCATGGATAGTGAGAGTGAACCACTTGGGGTTGCAGCAACAGAAATTCTAAAAGATAACCAGGCACCAAAAGACATGCCTGGAATTCAAGTAACAGAGACCATTGACATGGATTCTGAGACCAAACCACTTGGTGTTTCAGGAAGCGAAACCCTAACAGATAACCAGGCACCAGAAGACGTGGCTGGAATTGAAGTAGCAGAGAACGTTGCCATGGATTCTAAGACTGAGCCACCGGTTTCAGCAAGTGAAGTTCTAGGAGATGACCAGTTTCCAAAAGACATGGCTGGAGTTGAAGTAGCAGAGACTGAGACCATGGATTGTAAGACTGAGCCACTCGGGGTCTCAGTGAGCGAAACTCTTACTGATAACGCCCGAGCTGATAACAAGGTGCCAAAAAGCATGGCTGTAATTGAAGTGGCTGATAATGCCCTAGCTGATAACGAGGCTCCGAAAGGCATGGCTGGAATTGAAGTGGCGGAAACCGTGGCGATGGATTCTAGCGATCAGAGTGCCTTGTCGGCAACTGAGTGTTAAGTCTCTCTCTCTCGCTATCTCTTTGTTGTATCTTTAGAACCAGGATAACTCTTGGTTTTTTATAATTCTCGAGAGACTGTTAATGTCATGTCCTATTTTTTGGTTGTGGTTTAAATGTTTTTCTTTCTTTTATCCTTTGTTTTGTTTGTCTTTTGGGGAAGCTTTCTATGTTCTCCCTACAACATATAAGTTCTATCCTCCCTCTACCATCCTGCTATCAATTTTTGATCAAGAGAGCCACTTACCGTTTGAATCTCAAAGTATATTATTTTAGTTTTTTTAATACAATTTTCTGAGTATGAAATTTGGTACATGCCATTTTCTCATTGGGGCACACCTATAAAAAATATTAATAATAATTTTTCGATAAAAAATAACAACCAAAATACCCCTTGAAACTTTCAAGGGTAGTTTGATCATTTTAATTTATCAAAAATATTTTTTTTATATTTTTTGTTAGTGCGAGTTTAATAGAGGAATGTTTAAAATTTGGTGTCAAAATAGTTTATAGAAAACAAAATTAAAAATAAAATAGTATGCAGATGTAACATTGTGATTGGGGCAATCTTAACCCCTCCATTAAAAAATAGAGGGTTGAATAAAAGGGAGGATAGAACTTCTACATTGTAGAGGGAATTTAGAAAGCTTTCCCCTTGTCTTTTTACCTATCACCCCTCATTGTTTTGTTGGAAATTCTCTTTTGTTTGTCTTTTTACCCATCATTGTTTTGCTGGAAATTCTGTTTACCATAACATCTCGGAAGCCTTTGTATGTGTGTGACAGAGAGCGCTCTTCTAAATAGTCTGCAGTTAAGTTTAGGTCACGGTTTCTATGCGGCCGGCCCGCATATGGGCTTAGCAATAAATACATTTTTTAAATATAATTTGATCCTAATTTTTAGATAATATATAATATTTAACATGGAAATCATGAATATGAAAAAAAATATATATTTAAAAACTAGAAATAATAATTATAATAAAAAAATGTTTAGACAGTTAGTTATACTTGTTTTTAAATGGATCACCTATTTGCCTCCATCTTTAAGATGGATACTTTATACCTCTGGATCGCATATTGTAGAAATGCGGTCCAGTCGCATGAAACAATTTTCCTTAAGTTTCTTGTATAAGGACTCGAATTCCGTTAAAAACCCAACCTTTGACAGATCAAACCCGAGAGGGGGACAGCATACGAATCAGTATTTATCTGGGACGGCAAAGCTGCAACAAGCAGAAATGAAATAGACTCACTACAGTGTTTGTAATTAATCTGTAACATTGACCATTTACTCAAGATTTCATCCAAGATATAGGCACTGAATATTTGTATAAACATTCTCTTGGGTGAATGATTATTCCAAGGCCTTTCCCAATGCTTCATATCTCAAGCCTTTCAGCTTCAAGCTCCATCACAGCTTGCTGCACAAATTATGAAAGAATATGTTTGTTACGATGGCATAGATAAATTCTCTTTTATTAAGTAAACAAAGTATCAATGAGAGAGAGAGAGAGAGAGAGTACCGTTATGTATGACAGGGTGTACTGGACATCACTGAATGAGATTTGATGATGCAAAACAATCCTAATACTGCAACAATCAGTTGTCACATGTTACATATTTTTGCCGTTAAATGTGAGTTGCAAATTACATAGTGAAGTTGAATCTGATTGGGAGTTGAATAGCGTGGGGTACTCAAACTGGGCAATCCACTGTCATGATCAATGGTGGAGGTCAGCTGCTGTTCGATGAATTGGACTTGGAACAGGACAGCGGCTCATCTCCATCGTCCATTTGCAATTGTAAATCAGCAAAATCAGGAGAGAGAGAGAGAGAGAGCAAAAACATGCCTGCATGAACTTATGGGCAGCACGAGTATGCCACGATCATTCAGAACCTGTGAAAATTTTTCTGCAGTAACCCTTTTGTCTGTAATCTCGAAAAACACCTGCGTAAAAGAGAATTTTTAGAACAAAGATCGCTCTGTTTAAGATAGAAGGCTCCAAAGCTAACCGGCACTTACGAGGTTCGTCTCGACTGAAGCTAAGTCCACTTTTAGTCCCTTGACGTGGTTCAAGCCATCTGCAAAGCTAAAGGGAATCACATCGGGTACTAATTCATTTTATAAGGCTATTTGACTCTGCCATCTCAGCCAAGAAGATCATAACTTGTTAATTTTACTTGCACATATGTAAGTTATAAGCCGTGTAATCAATATGCCGGGACTCGCCTCAGCTAAGGAACTCCCCCCTAGGTGAGGAGGTGAGTTACTCAGCCAAGTCCTGCATAGGGCCAAAAGGCCTTAAAAATATTTAAAAAAAGGAAAAAAATTGAAAAAGTTCAAAAATGAAAATGTAGTAGAAGTAAAATGAAACTTCAAACAACTTTAAAAAGTTATAGTAAGCTTTGTATGATGCATACTTTCTGCAAACCACCAACGCTTCTTAATTTTCGTGTCGCTAATTGAATTTCATCGTAACAATGAAAGTGATCTCATGGATGAAGAATAGCCATAGTTCACAGTTATCAGAAACCACTATACCTGCTAAGATCTTTGCTTTCTGATGATCTTCTTCAAGCTTTGGAACAATATCTCGCAACGCAACGAGAGCAGCAGCACACAATATCCCGACTTGTCTCATTGCACCGCCAAGAGTTTTCCTCAGCCTCTTTGCCTATCAATCGCTTTGTACAATTGCGTTGATATTATATTTAGCATCTAAGTGCACTACACAATTGAATATAAACCAGTAATACCTTTGTGATGAAGTTTTTCGACCCTATAATTACTGATCCAACTGGAGCTCCCAAACCTTTTGATAAGCACACCTAATTTATGCATAAAATGAAGGGAGAATTTTACATTGCAGAGTGGTTCTGTTGCATAAACCAAGAAATATAAAGTAATAGACGAAATTTCTGCATAAGAAAATTTACAAAACAATAAGAATGGTTAAAGTTTATTCTAAATATTAAAAGAAAGTCAAAAAGTGCATCATATGAAGTACCATCATATTAGCTGAAATTTAAAGTGAAAAGATTTCAGCGAAGAAGCACTAGATTAGCTCATACCGAAACTGAATCAGCAGCTTGAACAAGTCTAGCCACAGGAACCCCCAGAGCCTAGCAAATGAACATCATTAGTGTCAGAAATAATCTATTCTGAGTACAAATGCCCAAAATTGTGTATCATATACTTGAAGAATGGTCGCATAGAACAATCTGGAAGAGAAAATTGTAAAAATCCTACTAGGTTATCTCAAATATTTCACTGGTTGCAAACAGAGGAGAAGCAAATGGTCCAATTCTTAGTACAGAAAAGATCCAAACAATGCCGTAAATAAATAAGGACCATCAAATCGACACATGGCTGCAGAATCGAAAATTTTAATTATCAACAGAAAAAAGATAAACCAAAAGCTAAACTCCAATTTGTTGTTAAGACTTACATTTAGTGACTGCGATTCACCTTTGAAAGTAGGCCAATGAGGAATGAGGTTAAAAAGCTTAAACAAGTCAAGACATTCTAATGTTTATAAATAAGTGGAGAAGATGAGAACATGAGAGAAATAATAGCCAAAAGAAAAATGAGACAGCTAAAAAGAACTCTCAAGGGAAAAGCAGCATACTAAGGATCTGAAAGAATTGGCAATAAAAATATCATTATCATATCTGGTCGCACCAAAACTCACTCAAAGCTCTGTATGAAACTTAAAAAATCCAGACATCAGTAATGAAGTATCACTCACAACTGATGCATTGAAAATGCGTGCTCCATCAATNTGTAACTTTAATCCATGTTTTTTGGCCAGTTCACCAACTTTATCAGTGTATTCAACTGAAAGGCATCTACCACCGGTGCTGCAGTGTTGCAATCAAATATTAAATAGCAGAGGTGCAACCACGGCAATGCTAAAAAATTATTCCAAGTCATACAAACTAGAGAAACAGTTGTAGAATTGATCTAACAAGGTAACATAATCGGAATGTGTTATTTCATTAGAGTAAAAGCTGCAAAACATGCATGAAGGACGCCAAAATCATAGTGAAGGCACGAATTTGGCCAATCCAAATTAAATAGGTTCAAAATAACCACTTAGATGGGTAATCTTGATCCAAATATACTAACCAGGCCTGCAAGAGAGAGTCTTTTAAGACAGGAAAATTCATTTTTCATGTCAAATGCATTATTATGCATCCTAAAAAGCCCATCATCAAGCAACCATTCTTGAAGTCATCCTTGTTGAATAATGGAAAATGTGGCAAGCACATATCTCTCCATCAAAGAACCAAGTCTTTTTGATATGGAAAAAGATTATATAGAGCAAGAGGCTCTAAACAATCAAATTAGATCTCACCTCAAAAATTTCACTAGAAAATGTTGTTTTGATGGTCAAGTATCCTCAAATTGATCATCTCGACATCAAGATGCATGGACATGCGAAAAAAATGGACTTCAAGTTTTGTAAATAGTGCATCTTGTAATGCATTTTGGACCGTTAATTTTCACTATTTTCAAGTTTTCATAGATCTGCTCGATCTACAATATTTTTGGAGCTTTAAATTTTATAATTAGAAATGAAAAAATATTTTTAGGCTATCACGAAGATTTCCAGTATTGAAACCACATTTCTTGATACTATTTGAAGGTGGGCTTTACTTTGATTGTTTAGAGCCTCGGCTCTATACAAATCGCACCCTTTTGATATAGGTCCCTTTTTATCAGAAATATATATATCATTACTCTGGTGTTTTTTTAATATTTTAATAACAGAAATTAGCAAAAATGAAAGAACTATCTTCATAATTGGCAAACATTGCTAGATACTCAATTGCAAGAGAACCATTAAAGAGCATCAGCAAAGGATCCAAGAAACTAGCTTGTTCACGCAAATGAGAACTCAAATGCGAGGAAGGTATCCATCCTTCAATGTTTGCAGTAAAATCTAAGTTTTAAATTTTTTATTTTTCAAAAATTTGAAAAAGTAGTCACATAAAGGAGTCACATTCTAATGGACCCAGCATCTTTTTGTTGTGATTTGATCAAGAAATACGCTGTTTCTAACAAATACCAAAACCTGAAGAAAAACAAGAATATACCATTATGGAGGCTCTCACAGAAATCTGAAGACCATATACAGTTTCGGACGCAAATTAATAATAATTGAAGTATATGAGAGCAAAAGCCCAAAAGCCAAATCACCAGATTGGAATACAAGGATCCCATCTACCCCACAACCAGAAAAGAGTGGATCTTGTGATACCCAATTCCAGAATCTTAAAACACCTCTAGGTCCATAAATATCTATATTGAAGAGCACACATAATCATAATTAGATTGAATCTTCTTCACATGATGAAAAGCGCACAAAACCAAATTAATTCAAATGATATTCACAATATTTTCCCCCTGCCCACAAGAGGTTAACTCGGTTAATTCAAATGGTATTCACAATATTTTATTATCATGGTCTCATTGGTAATCCCGAGTATGCAACATCGATCGAACTGAGACCATGTCATTTTCATTAAGAAAAATCAGAAAAGTAAGCTAATGGAGCCTTACTGAGCACCAGATCATGATTTGAGAACAAAGTGAATATATTCGGTTGAATCCTTCGTCTCTATACATTGATGTCAAAAAAGAAAAAGAAAAAATCAAACTGCTAAGAAGCCAGATAAAATAATGGGCAATATAAAATTGGTCAGAAGACCAGAATGCAAAGAAATTTGGCTTAACATTAGATACATTGATTTGGCATTTGAAGTTTACTTTTACAAAAAGTGGCATTCAGAAATTCAGGTGATTTCAGCTTAGAGCCTTAGACACAATACAAGAGTTGCTAATTAATCACAGGTTACTGAAGAAATTCATTGTAAAAGATTGAAAGCACGCTCAGCATAAACATTGCAAAAGGTCAGCAAATTCTAAAATCACAATTACAGAAAGGAAAACCCAATCAAATCGTTATTTCTTCTCTTTTCTTTATTTCTGATGGGTTTCTAGAGAAATCATCAAACACTAAAATAATTGCCTATCAAACAGTAATAATCTTCAAATCCAATTGGACACATAGCACCACAAGAATACACCATCCATTAGAAAAAATAAATACACGATCCATTAGAAAAAATAAGAGCATATAAGAACTCCAAAATTTAATTACCTAAAATTCAGCCATCAAACCAGAAGAGAAAACATACTTAGCCTGTGTATTCTCCAAGCAAATAAGCCGTGTAGTCGGATAATACATGGCCTCTGTAGGATCCCTGATTGCAGCTTCAATAAGATTGATATCCATGGTTCCATCCGAATTGTTCGGAACTGTTCTTGAATGAGCACATCCAATTGTCGAAATCCCTCCATTCTCTAAAAGATGAATATGGCTTTGATCTCCCAAAATCACTTCACTTCCTCTAATCTCACAGTGAACCATAATACTAATAAGATTACTCATTGTACCAGAAGGCACAAAAAGGGCTGCTTCTTTACCCACAATTCTTGCCACTTCGGTTTCGAGCTTCTGAGCTGTTGGGTCAAAACCCAAAACATCATCATCGACCTCTGCGTTAGCCATGGCTGCTATCATAGCTTCAGTTGGCTTTGTGACTGTATCAGACCTTAAATCTACTATTCTCCTCACCATGATCGCAAAATACCACCTAATTTGGCAAATTTCAATGAAAGTAAGAAAAAAGAAAGAAAACTTTGAATAAGATGTAAGATTCAAACAAGGAAGCTCTTGATATCAACTAAGAAAATATAGTCAAATTTTGATATTGTTTTGAAACTCAAAAAATAACTCCAATATGAATTATAACTGAGAAGAAAATAAAACTTGCTTTTATTGCTTCTTATCTGGCTAATTTTTCATATAAAATTCAAAAAATGCATGAATATTTTATCAAATTACAGAGATCTTCTACAAATAGTAAAAACTCATGGTAGAACCAGAAAACATGCAAAAAGAAACTTGGCCAAAAAGCATTGCAATCTTCACAACTAATCTCAAAAAAAAAAAAAAAATCCACAAAGAGATGGTATGAATTATAATAGAAATAAATGAAAACCACCAATGAGCAGTTGATATTTCAGTCAATGAATAAGAAAATTGCTGAGAAAAGAAACCAGAGCAAACATATTTATAGGAAATATTTTATAATGAGAGGGTCTAAGACCCTGAAACAGATATAATTTCCTAAAAAGAGCTTATTTTTTACCTACACTGTCTTTTGACAGAGAACTCAAAGCAATAGCAATACTTTTTACCAGATAATCCCTAGGTTAAGACTTAAAAATAACAGGACAATGGCTGAACATTCCAAAAATTCAAAGGAAAAGAAAGCAAATTGAATAATTACTTAACCAATTATATAAAATAAGCCATGAATTAACTTAACAAAAGATAATAATAATAATGCCTTGAACTCAAAATTGTTTGTCTTCAATCCAAGCCCCAAAGACTAACCTTTATATTAACCTCTACTTCCTAAGAATCAATGGAAATCTAGGTATCTTATAGAACTAAAATAGAGTTTCCCCTTTTCTTTCTCAATAAATCCCTATAAGTAGAAAAAAACACGTCTCTGCAACTTTAAAACGTCGAATTAGTTTTTACGAGGACCAAACGCGCGAAAATGAGTGAATAAATGAACCTGGATTATAGGATACGTACGAGGTTTTAAGGGCAAAATGGTCTTTTTGCATATTTAAAAGTGGAAATAGTTTATATGAGGTGTCTAATTTTATAATATTGAAGGGTGCTGTTCGCATGCAGATGCACCTGTAGGTGTAGAGGTAAGGTGCACCTTCAAAAGTTTATCATGGTATATAATTTTGAAAATTTATTTTTACATCTAATTATCAAATTTTAAATTTAAAAAATGACTAAAAATCGAGTAGATCTATAAACATATGAAACTCTTGAAAATGGACGGTGTTGATAATATGTTGTAAAATGCACTATTTCTGAAGCTTAAAATCTTTTTATTTTTCATGGTCATACATCTTGATATGGAGATGATCAATCAAAGGGTTTTTCAACATTAAAACTACCTTTACCGATAGACCTTTGAAGTACATCCGTAGTTACATCCTCATATAAACTTTTTTTTTGAAAAAAGTAAGGCTTATCTAGAAAAACCTTTATGGAAAAATATCTTTATAAAATATTGAAAATAGAGATTGAGGCGTTGATAAAAGTACCAATGAGCCTCATGAAAAAGTCCCAGAATCCATTCTCACAAAATGGTTGGGGCCTAAATGATTACTGACTTACCTCCTAACTTACAAAAAAAAAAAAAAACCTTTAAAATTAATCATCTTAACGTTGAGAAGTATGGATATAAAAAAAAATAAAAAATTT